ATTTGCATTAGCAGTGGACAGTGGTGAAGCCTGCACATGATTGATGTAATTGATTTCACTGAATTGTGAACAATGCTGATATGACAATGTTGTGTTACCTATATTTCTACAACAACAACAACAATAATAATAAAATCAACTGGGGAGATCTAAAATGAATGGATACAGAGTAAGCCACAATTTCTGGAGGTGGGACCTGGGTGATTGTAGAATCCCCAGGTGATTGTCATAGACAACCAAGGTTGAGAACAGCTGGCTTAGACTGTGACTCTAATTCTGAAGATTCGTTCTAGAACAGAAAGAGGAACTATAATCTGAGTGGTGCTGCTGCCCCTTAGAGGGGGCTTGGGGCACAGTGGCTTGTAGACAGATGCATGAGAAGGCTTGCTGAATTATCTGGGTTCATAGGAACCTAAGTCTTAACAAAGTGCATTAGTTACAGATGAGAAATCCCTTCTCCGAGCAATCAGAAGCCTTTTCATTTCTGGTCCAGAGAGCCTCCTTCTCCTTTTAATGATAAATATAAAACTTAGAAACAGTACCAAACCAAAAGGGATGGGCACACCTACACTTTTGGGGGAGATATCAAATTCCCCTAGTAATGGCACACCTTTGAACAGTCCCACAGAAAATTGAGTGCTCATTCCCCATATCTTGGCCAGCACTGTGTTTTATCACTTTATTTTATTTTTGACAATCTGATGGGTGGAAAATAATGTATCTTTATATTTAGTGTTTATTGGATTACTATGAGAGATTATTAAAGGATACTCTAGAAACCAGGTTAGTTGGGCTAAAGATTAAATTTATAAGAGAAACTGATATAAAGAAAAACAACAACAACAACAGTACATAGTGTTACAGTATGAACATATGCAACTCTGATTAAACTCTGTGTGGCTATGTGTTTTAATTATTATTTGTTCTTCCTCTTTCACCTCCTCTCCCCGCCCCCCATAGTTCCCTGATATCTTTCAACAAATAGCTTCCAAGATGACTGGGACCCTGCCCCCCAAAGAGTTCCTCTGGACTGTCTTTGAGTCTGTTCGGGGCAGCAGTGAGGAGAGCCCCAGCTCTGACCTCAGTCCTGGTGAGTGTTTCTGGGCCTGAGTAGTCCTGGGAGCATTTGATCAAAGAAGTGTCAGGTTTACCTTGGGAGATCATCTCTCTGAGCATTGTCTCATCCTCATCTGTGTCCTTTAGGTGGGCGCTATGGTTTCTCCCATTTTCTTGTTGAAGGAAAGTGAGGGTTAGAGAGATTAAGGGACTTGGCCAGAGTCACAAGCTAGTGAGTGGCTGCTCTTGGATTTGTACCCAAAGCTGCTGATGTTCTGGACCAGCTCCTACGGCCCTCACAGGCCTTGCGGTCCAGTTGTAACATTGCCACAGTCCTGTGCTGTGCACGTGGGGA